ATTAATCCGTGAGATCGTTTGTCACGGATTTGTCACGGCCACGGTCCGTGACAAAACACTTCACCGGAATCCCATTGCCTTTCATTTGTCACGGACGCATCCGTGAATAAATGTTTTTATTTTTCAAAAAAAAATAATTACTTGTCACGGACATATCCGTGACAAATTTAAAAAAGGTTTTTCAAAATAGAGTGGGCGGGTATTTGAAACGGTCCGGAAAATTCAAATTTTAAATTTTGTCACGGACATATCCGTGACAAAATATTTTGAAAAAAAATTGAAAATTTTAAAATAGAGTGGGCGGGAGCTTTAAAATTTTCAAAAAATTCAAAATTTTGAATTTGTCACGGATCCCATCCGTGACAAAACATTTTTTTTTAAAAAAATACGTTAATTTAGCGTTTTATGTATTAAAAATAAAATGAATTTATATTTTGTCACGGAACAGTCCGTGACAAAAGTTTAAATTTTTTTAAAAAAATTTTTAAAAATTCAGCGCATTTTTAAAAGTTTATTTCAAAAGTTTATTTAATAAAAATAACCATTAAAATTTAGGCGCTTTTTCAAAAAATTAAACTTAATAATAAATAGTTAAACAATAATCATAATAAATAATTGTTTATAATAAATAATTAAACAATCATCATTAATCACCATTACACATTAGGTATCATAATAAATAATAATCTAATCAAACCATCATTATAAAACACAAATAAACTATTATTTAAACACAATCAAACCATTACACATTAATATTCATACATTAACACATCAAAATTTTAAAATCCTTAAAATGTTAATAAACTAATTATTACAAACCATCAATGGTCATCATAATCAGCATCAGCATCATCAGGTTCGTCACGATGATCGGGTTGCCTTCCGTGGCCACGGCTGCCACCACGATGACCGCCTCGACTGCCACTGCGGCTGCCAGCACGGCTGCTGCCACGGTAAGCTTGAGCTCCGGGAGTCGGGATATCGTCATAATATCCATATGGAAAGTTGTTGGAGATGTGGCTATAATTAGCAAAACCCCTACTACCCATACTGCCCATATTGCCCATATTGCCCGCGAAGGGAACTTGTGGGGTCATCTCGGGGTGCTGTATGTGCATGGATGGACGGTAGGTGGCGTTGAAAATACGCATTTGGCGTTCCATCTCTTCCAACCTTTCTCTTGTTCTTCTTTGCTCTTCATCCCGTATCCGAGCTTCTTCATCCCGCCTTCGAGCCTCGGCTTCACGTTCCTCCAATAGTTTCTCGAGGCGGGTAACCCGATCATCATATGCCGAATGAGAAGATGAGCTAGCTCCTTTGGTCTTCTCGAGGATCCGTACGCCTTCAGAACCCATAAACGGCATCCGGCCCTTGTAAACTCCGGTTGCCGCCAAGATGGCTTCATCATCTTGATTTTCATCAAGTTCGTCATCAGAATCAGCTAGCTCATCAACTCTCTTACCCCGCTCTTCCTCATATTTTTTCTACAAGTTCAAAAATTTATTATATAAGAGATCTAAAAAAATCGAAATTTATTGAATTATGTTTCATTATTTACTTCAATTTCAGAAAGGCGGGGAGGCGGCATGGCACCCTTCTTAGTCCAGCAATGTGCCATGAGTTTCAATGGCGTGACCCGTTTTTTCACGGGTCCAGATCCTTCCTACACGGATTTCAAAATTAATAAAAAAATATATATACATAATGGTATGGAATGGAAATAATTTTAACTAAATAGAGTTTACCAGATCTTTTTTATGTTGACTTTGGGGTTTGCGGCCCCCGTGCCATTGAACTTCCTTGGCTTTCTCGGAAGCCCGGTTTGCCTTGCCCATTTCGCTTCTCAGCAAAAATGAGGCATCCGTAGCCCAGTGGCGGAAAAGCATCTCCCACACATCATCACCAAGGAACTTTGGCTTTTTACCCGTAGACCGGGCGGTCCTAAAAGTGGGTCTCAACCACCCAGAAATCCTAGAATTGTATTCTTTGAGAATCGCTTGGTCTAGGGCAAAATGCCAACGATGGAAAGCCTTCATGAAAAACATTGATATATCATCATTTCTTAAATTTAAGTTACTAAAATGTAACAAAAATATTTATTTATACCTTGAACAACCGCCACCATAGTTCACGAGTGGCCGCCGGAACCTCACCATAAGTCGACCACGGCCCGGTGAAATGACCACAAACAATAGCCTTGATTCTATTCAAGACCTCGGAATCGCTTCAAAAAATTGATAATTGATAAAAACAATTGTATTAATTCTTAGATAAAGAGATTATACTATTTTATATTAGAGAATGTTAGTTTTTTATTACCTATGGATCGATTGAGGTGTCACCTCAAGCGAACCGGGATTGTGGCGCTCTTCTTGAGTGGGGGGGGGGGGGGGGGGGGGGCATATATTGCACGAGATGAAGGAGGTGCATGAGATGATGCCCCCTCCCCATGCACGCTTATATGAGCGTCTGATTGTTCGGAGGGAGGAGTTTGGACATGTCCGTCAAGAGCTTGTCCTTCGTCGGGATTGATATCATCATTGATATCACGATCAGCATTTGAGGCCCGTCGTGAATTCTGACGCCCACGACGAGCAATGGTGGAGAGGCGGCGTTCGTGCTCACTCATCTAAAATTATTGAGAAATAATATATAGAACATATTAAACTGGTGTTTAATATGAGAGGTCAAATGATATTATTTTTATGTTATGGAATTTAATTGTGTTAGATATTATTTTATCAAACCTTATAAAATCAGTTTATGGGGTTTTTGTGTGGTATGATATTTTAAACTTAATGAGTTTCCCTATTTGGTTATCAAACTTTGAAATATAGAACACATTAAACTTGAGTTTAATATGAGGGGTAGAATGTGTTTTTTGTATGATTTTTATGTTATTGAATTTCATGATGTTAGGTATTATTTTATGGTGTTTTTGTGTGGTATGAAACTTTGATAATTATAACATATTAAACTTGAGTTTAATATGAGGGGTCGAACTTGAGTTTTTTGGATGATTTTTATGTTATGGAGGTAACTTGTGTTGTGTATATTTTTTATGAAACCTTATATAAAATCAATTGATCAAACTTTTTAATTTAAACTAATAAAATCAGTTTTTCCCTATTAAATTATAAATCATCGAAAATCAGTTTTTTGCATTAATTTAGAAAAATACAATTTATTACATCTTGTATTTGGTATTATTTATAAAAAACAGTTTTCTAAAATCAGTTTATGAAGTTTTTGTGTGGATAATGGTTTAAACTTATTAGTTTCCTATTTATTCATCAAACTTTGAAATATAGAACATATTAAACTTGAGTTTAATATGAGGGGTAGAATGAGTTTTTTGTATGATTTTTATGTTATTGAATTTAATTGTGTTACGTATTTATCAATCTTTGAAATATAGAACATATTAAACTTGAGTTTAATATGAGGGGTAGAATGAGTTTTTTGTATGATTTTTATGTTATTGAATTTAATTGTGTATGGTATTAATTTATAAAAAAACAGTGACCTGATTTTTAAAATCTATAAAATCAATTTTTTCAAAAAAAATTTAAAAATCTGTTTCATTTTTTGTTTATTCATGAAACCCATAAAATAAATTTTTCATGAAACATATGAAATCATTTTCGTATTATATAAACAAAAACAGTTTGTTTGGTTTTTTATTTCTATTTTAATATATAAAATACATTTTTTTACTTCATTTCTGTTTTATGTTATTAATGAAACAACGTTTTATTTAAAATAAAATATTATATTATCCGAAATTATTTAAAAATCAGTTAAATAATCCAAAATTTTTTAAAGTGGAAAAAATCTTGCTGAAAAGCATCAAAGTCAATATCCCTTTGTTGAGCCTGTGTTACAATTTTGCTCGGACGGATATTAATGGCACACACCCAAGGATTCCGTGTGCGCCTCGTTGAAGGATACTCTGCATAATAAACCTGGGCTGCTTGTTGAGAGAGTATAAATGACTCATTTTTCTGATACACACGAGAGTGGTTGACGTCAATTATATTATATTTTGAATTTTTTCTCACACCACGTGTAGGGTCGACCCATGTGCAGCGAAACAACACGCATGTTAATTCTTGCAAACCAGAAGGCATTTGAAGTTCGAGAATCTCATGCAAGAAACCAAAAAAATTGGTTTCCGAGTTATCAGAACCGATTGTCGGGACACATAACCCGCTGTTCATTGTTGGTCGACCTTCTCCATATTCAACTGTGTGATACGTATAACCGTTTATCACATATGAATGCCAAACCTTTGCATAGGAAGAAGGGCCCCACGATAATGATACTAACAGAGGGTCGTTAATCCCACGGTACCTGATCTGCAAATTAAAACATGATAACATTAGGTAATGATTAAAAATTACTAGCTAATAGTATATATAATACCTGCTGTTGGTACCATAATGCAAAGTCAGAGTCCACCATTGCATCAATTGCATCATCAGGAAATGCTGATAAAGACGCTCTAAATTCACTGTGAATTGAACATAAAGATATTATTATAACACTCTAATTATTAAAAAAATATTAGCTATATTACAAATGTAACTACCAATTCAACTTACTTATAAAATGGTAAGATTTCTGGACAATTCATGAGGATGTAAGTATGTGCAATTTTCATTTCTCCGCCCACGATGTAACGGTAAGTCGCAGCTCCTTTACCTCTACCTGGGTAGTTGAAAATAGAAACTACTTTATCATATGAATCCTCGCCAATGTCATCGTTCCGAGCAGGTCTCTTTCTTTTACTGATTACTTCACGCTCAAAATAAAAAGATGAAAACGTTGAGGTTTCTTGTTGAATATATGCTTGACAAATTGAAGCCTCAATGTGTGCCTTGTTGGTCGCTTTCTTTTTCAAATCTCCCAGAAATCTGTCATGCAAAATAAAATTTGTAAACAAACAAATGTTCTTATTAAACAAATCATCGTTTATAAATGAAATTATGACTAACCTTTCAAATCTGTACATCCAACGATAGAAGACGGGCCCTCCATTCAAAGCCTCATACGGAAGATGTATTAGAAGATGTTCCATTACATCAAAAAATGATGGGGGCAGTATCTTTTCCAGATTACACATCAGAATAGGAACAGTGTCTTCTAGTCTCCTCAGGGATTCGGCATCCAAAACGGCGGAACATATCGACTGAAACAATTGACTGATTTCGGTAATACAGCCCCAGACGTCTGCAGGAAGCATCTCTTTCAGTGCAATCGGCAGAAGTCGTTGCATGATTACATGAGCATCATGAGTTTTCATGCTCGACGTCATTGTTTGTTTGTCCAGGTCCACGCATCTTGACAAGTTAGAACAATAGCCATCTGGAAAGTTCAGAGAAACAAGCCACTCTAATATTGATTCCCTTTGGTGGGCTGTGAGTTGGTAGACTGCTCTTGGAATTTTTTTACCCACGTATTCTAGATCGACGGCGAGTTCGGGTCTGTCGCACCAAATTGTCATGTCTTTTCTAGATGCAAGACCATCTTTGGTTTTGTGGGTAAAATCCATAACCGTGTTAAATATATTGTCAAAGACGTTCTTCTCAACGTGCATGACATCTAAATTGTTACGAATGAGAAGGTCCTTCCAATACGGCAACTCCCAAAATATACTCCTCTTTGTCCACTTATGGGTATCACAATACCCATTTGGCTCCCCGTGGGGTTGCTGCACGGCCGTAGGAAAACGTCGAACCCGGTTAAAAACTTGTTCACCTGTAAGTCTCGGAGGAGGGGGATCTCGTACCACTCTTCCGGCAATAAAAGACTTCTTGTCCTTTCGATATCGATGGTTCATAGGCAGAAACTTGCGGTGACAATCAAAGTAACTTGGTTTCCCGCTAAATTTGAGCCAATTGGCCTCTGATTGATCCATACATATCGGACATCCCATAAGACCGTGTGTGCTCCATCCTGAAAGCATACCATAAGCAGGGAAGTCGCTAATGGTCCAAATGATGGCAGCTTTCATGATAAACATCTGATCTCTCGAAACATCATAAGTTGGTGTCCCAATGGCCCAAAGTTCTTTCATCTCCTCGATCAGGGGTTGGAGATAGATGTCTATCCTTTTTTTAGGATCCGAGGGACCTGGACAAATTAAAGTTAAAAAGATGAAATGACTTTTCATGCACATGTCGGGAGGAAGATTATAAGGAGTTAACATGACTGGCCAACATGAAAATTTCTTCCCAAACTTTCCAAAAGCAGCAAATCCGTCTGAACACAATCCCAGTCGCACATTCCGTGGCTCCATTGCAAACTGAGGATGACAACGGTCAAAGTGTCTCCAAGCTTCACAGTCGGAAGGGTGAGACATCAAACCCTCTTTGGTTTCGTGCTCAACATGCCACGTCATGTGTTTCGCAGTAGCATTTGAAGCATACATCCTCTGCAGGCGTGGAGCTAGAGGGAGGTAAAACAATTTAGACAATGCAGACCTTTTTCGTGGTTTTTTTCGTCTATGAGGAACAGGCTTGTATCTCTCTCCACCACAGAACTTGCAGGTCTCAAGTGCCACATCATCCTTCCAGAACAACATACATCCTTCTGGGCACGCATCAATTTCTATACAAGGAAGCCCCAACTGAGACATTAATTGTTTCATTTTGTAATATGAATCAGGAAGATTATGGTCACGCGGTAACATTCCTCCAAATGACTGCAATAACCTAGACATGCAAGATTCAGGAAGATTGTATTCAGATTTAATGTTCATCAACTCTGTAACGGCGGATAGCTGAGAGTATCCCTCACAATCAGCATACAGAGGCTGATCAGCAGCTTTTAAAACATCTTGAAATCTTTCAGCTAAGTCTTCAATATGAGGAACATGAGAATTCGGATACTCATCCGCAGCAGACTGATAAAAGGTCTGATCTTCATCCGCATCGGGTTGATACGAGGTCGAAGCTTCGGGAAGATCGTTAAATGGCTGTGGTGGGTTAAACTGCATCGTTGAAGCACCGTATACATCATATGCCATTCTTTGATCCCACGTCATTTGATCATAGTCTCCCCATCCACTCATCTCGGTAGGGACGTTACGAGATGAACCCACTGTTTGCGGTAAAAGTGATGGATCGAAAGGTTCGCCATGAGAAGTCCAATTATAATAATTGGCAACGAAACCTTTTTCGTACAAATCCCACACAACTTGGTCGACATCTTTAAATTGAAGATTTTTACACTTTGTACATGGACATCTGATTTTATCTCCATCCATATAATTCTTCTGTTCTTGTGCAAATTTAATAAAATCTTCAACACCATTCAAAAATTCACTGCGTATTCCATAGTTATCGCGATGTTTTTGGTACATCCAACTTCTGTTTTGTCTATACATTATGCCTGTATATATATTATAATCAAAATAATATATAAGTACATTAATATTATTAATTAACTAAAAGCAGTACATTATTTAATTTGTGGCATTAATAATTTGAATTAACCAACTTTAATTTGTGACATTAACTAAAAGCGTTGATTTACTAATATTTAACTAATAGTAATATGTTAATGGGATTAATCGTTTTAATTATTAACTACTAAAGTTTGAATCCTAACTGAAATCACTACAAATCCTCAATTATGCATTAACAATAATTAACTAATAAACAAATTAAACCTAATCATCATCATTGATCAATTAATTAACTAATATTTAAATCTAACTAATATTATCAACTCAAATTCCTCAATGTTTTAACTTAATTAATTAGTTAATTAATTTACATTTAACTAATATTATTGTTAAATATTATCTCATTAATAATTCACAATAATAATTCACAATAATAATTCACAATAATAATTCACACTAAACTAAATAAAAATAAAGTTTCAACCCGGTCTAGCTATATACATTATGCATCCCATTAACAATAATTAACTAATTTAACTTATTAATTAGTTAATTTCCATTTAACTAATATTGTTAAATATCATTAATTCACAATAATATATAATTCACACTTAACTAATAAAGTTTGAATCCTAACTTAAATCACTACAAATCCTAAATTATGCATTAACAATAATTAACTAATTAATAAACAAATTAAAACTAATCATCATCATTGATCAATTGACTAATATTTAAATCTAACTAATATTATCAACTCATCAAATTCTAAACCCATTTCCTCAATGTTTTAACTTAATTAATTAGTTAATTTCCATTTAACTAATATTGTGAATTATTATTGTGAATTCACAAAAATAATTCACAATAATAATTCACACTAAACTAAATAAAAATAAAGTTTCAACCCTAGCTATATATATTATGGATCCCATTAACAATAATTAACTAATTTAACTTATTAATTAGTTAATTTCCATTTAACTAATATTGTTAAATATAATTAATTCACAATAATATATAATTCACACTTAACTAATAAAGTTTGAATCCTAACTTAAATCACTACAAATCCTAAATTATGCATTAACAATAATTAACTAATTAATAAACAAATTAAACCTAATCATGCATTATCATCATTGATCAATTAACTAATATTTAAATCTAACTAATATTATCAACTCATCAAATTCTAAACCCATTTCCTCAATGTTTTAACTTAATTAATTAGTTAATTAATTTACATTTAACTAATATTATTGTTAAATATTATCTCATTAATAATTCACAATAATAATTCACACTAAACTAAATAATAATAAAGTTTCAATCCTAGCTAGCTATATTAATTATGCATCCCATTAACAATAATTGCTAATCAATAATAATTGGTGATAATTAATAACCTAATAATTAAGCTAGCTAACTAATTAATTAAATCACTACAAGTCACTAATTAATTAATCTATAATAAGCTAGCTAATACTTAAATCATCACTACACATCCTAAATTATTATGCATTAATAATAACAATAATTTAACTAATTAATATTTATATTTAAATTTAACTAATTAAATTACGTTAATAGTTTAATAATATATTGTTAATAATATGAAAATTAACATGACCTCACTAAATTACGTTAATAGTTTAAATAAATGAACAATAACTAACCTCACTAATTAATTATTAAGCTAATAATTAATTATTATTATATAAAGAAAAAAGAATCCTAACCTCACTAATAATAATTAATTAAGCTCATAATTAATTTATCACACAATTAAAAGAAATTAATTAAAATGACATACCTTATCAGCATAAATTCGGAAAATGATGAACTGACGGATTACATCATTCAATCTTTAAACCGATACTACATCACTCGAATCTACGAATTTTTGAACTGATTGTTGTTCTTGCAATTGTAATGGACGATGGAGTTGGGTTATATAAAAAAATTTGTCACGGATTTGTCACGGATTTATCCGTGACAAATCTTTTTCTGTACCGCATTATTAAAGGTTACCGCTGAAAAATCAATAATTGAGTTTCTTTGAAATTTGTCACGGATTCGTCACGGATTTATCCGTGACAAATCTTTTCCCATACCGTATTATTAAAGGTTACCGCTTGAAAATCAATAATTGAATTTTTTTGAAATTTGTCACGGATTTGTCACGGATCTGTCCGTGACAAATGCCCGGAAGCAAAAAAGTATTCACCGGAGTAAAAAACCGGTCGCCGGAGTAAATTTGTCACGGACCAAATCCGTGACAACATAATTTTCGTGACAAATCCCAGAATTCCGTGACAAAGCCCGTGACAAATTTGTCACGGCCGGAATCCGTGACAAAAATCCGTGACAAACGGCGTGTTTTTTTGTAGTGAAAAATGAAAATAAATAAATATGTCATGAATTATATGAGTATGCGAGAGATAAAAGTATATATTATTAATTTACATTGTTTGTGACTAGTTCAAAAAAAGTTCATGAGTATATACGTTATATGTGATATAGTTGAGATAAATATTTATTGTTTCATCAATACGAATTCTTTACGTTAAATAAAAATAAAAGTTAATTAATACTAATAACAAGTAAAAACATATTATCAGTATAACTACATTATTACGTGCAATGAATGTGTAAATGAATTCACAAACTAAACTAAACATAACAAACATTATTTCTCTAGCACAAGAAAACCAAAAACTATTAATGATATTAGGATTAGTTAGGATTAATGCTTAACAATGGACAAATAAATTTTATTTACTCCGTATATTTTAACTAGTTCGGTTTGTTCGATTCGGTTCGGTTTTGAAGGGTAAAAACCAAAACCGAACCGAACAACTACGGTTCGGTTCGGTTTTTTACATTCGATTTCGGTTTGTTAGCGGTTCGGTTTTATTTGGCTACGGTTCGGTATGGTTCGATTCGGTTTTCGGTTTTCGATTTTTCGGACACAGCCCTAGATACCACATACCACCACTCCGCAAGTACACCGATAGCAGTGCAACTATCACTGTGATGGTCATCACTAGCAATTTATAATATGGTGTTGTATGATCTGGTCTGGACTAAACTGGCCAAGACTTTTGGTTTGGCCGAAGTCTGATCTAATCTGGTATTTTTAGTCAGATTTAGTCTAGTCCAGCTAGTTAGGTCAAGGATAATCCGATCTGGTTTGGTCTATTTAAGTCTAATGTAATCTAATATATGTTCTGATCTGAGATTGAAATCAATCCATTAAAGACATTTTTAGATGATGGGAAAATTGTGACATCTTATAAGCATCTTTTAGTTACAATGCATTTATGTTTAAGGTTATAATATAGTGACCATAACGTTATAATATAGTACTACCCGGTAAAATACACCGTACGGCCGGCTATACGGTGCTCACCGTACAGCTGGTTTTTTTGTAATTAAACCTCCACGATCCATGCCTGCAACTTACGATTCAGCCCTGCAACTCACCAACGAAGATGACGAAGGACGGCAGATCGAAAGTCTGGTGCAACTCACGAACGCAGATCATCGATAGCCAAGCTTCCAAGTGCAACTCACGAGTCACGACTGAGATTCTTAGCCGACGCAGAGACGACTCTACCCCAGCGAGCGATTCCTATTTTTCACACTCTATTTTTCCGTCTCTGGTAATTACTGGCCTGCTACATGGGCTGCCACATTTTTTTATACAAAATGAAATTATGAGCATAGTAGACATTTCGAATGAGTTTTATGATTGCTCATTTTGTAATTTATGTATACTCATTTGATATTTACTTAATACTCATTTAAAATGAAATGAGTTTTATGTTAAACTCAAATGAGTATAACGCCCAAAAAGAATGAGCACACACAAATGAACCTTTTAGTTATTTGATACTAACTTGTAAATTATGTATGCTCATTTTAAAATGTTGAACATTTCAAATGTATCGTACTAAACGAAAAAATAATATAATAAACCAAAAGTGATATATAAGGTTTGAAGCAGAGATCACTGATTCTCACCGTTAGGCTCCTAATACTCAAAAGAACAGGATTGATGCTTATCAAAGTTGCATAAATGCTCATTTAGGAGAACCGCGATTTTCACAAAAATTACAATTTTGCCACCGGCTGTACAGTGATCACTGTACAGCCGGCTGTACAGTATACGCGTTCGTACTACCCCCGTTCCAAAATGATTTGCAAAATTGACTTATTTGATCAAACAATTTCATTTTATTCACTTAATTAGGATGTCAACTTTTAAGTATATTTTAATTTGGAGTTTGCAACTTTGAAGAGACATTAATGTAGTTTTTGAATATGTAAATTTTATTTATTAAAACTTGAATTAATTATCAATAGGAAAGATTTAACTTTAACATTGTTGACCAAAAAATAGATTGACTTTAATTTTATTATTAGTCACATTATTGTTAATAAGCTTTATTTAAGAAATACTTTAGGAGAAATTCTTATAACATTAATAACCACCAACTTAAATGAATAGACAAAGTATTTTTGGGGAAATTCCAACAGAAAAGGTGAAGCCTTATAGCACCAGTATGATGAACCTCATTTTTGGCTTATCGATCTTATAGTAATCAAATTAAGTGATATTGAAGCTAGTTGTATGAACGAATTAATTGAACCTACTGTGGATAATCATTTTGACTTTTTTCAAATATAGTTTTCATTATTTTTTAATAAATTAAGTTTTAAATTTATTTTTTTATAATTCAGCAGATTCAATTAATTTAACCGCTCTAAGCATAACTTCTCCAATTTCAATACATTCAGCTAATTCAACCAAATTCGATGTTACAAAACAAGTTCTTAAAATGATATTCTTGCCCATGCATATTCATGACTTATAAACCGCCAGAGTTCCGATACTTGAACAACAAAACATAACAAATAATTTAAGAATACATTGAATGACAATTGTTATTATATACCCTTAATATAAAATTAACTG